GTTTGTTTGTTTGTTTGTTTGTTTTTAAATTTCCCACTGGGTAAAATCTCCTGACAGAGTCACATCACATTTCCACCATAATCAACAAATTAATTTCTTGTTTTTCTTCCAAACCCCTTAATCTCTAAGAAATGAGTTTTACTTGGACGTTTGGCTTATGAGCAGAACATGCTAAGCAGAATCTCTTTGAACTTCTAAATCGTCATGTCTATATGTAGCCACAGCTGAAAGGTTCAAACACACCTTCATCCAAATTCATCATAAGATTGACACTTCATTTGACACAGTCACAGAACCACCTGTGACTCTGAAATTTGTTTCCAAATGCCACAGCTTTGGCATCATGCATACCTGGAATGTACTTACAAAAAAAAAAAAAAGCTTGAAAGAAAAGGATAAGTTACTTGTGAAGATACATTGTATTTCTGACAAGTATTTCCATATGTGTATCACACATACCAGTCTAGATACCCTTCTACTCAGACTGCTGTCCTCTTATGCTATGAATTAATGGATTTAAATCCTTGGCTGTAATCAGTTCTATTTTTATTATTTTACCTTGGAGGTCAAGACATTTTCATGACAGAAGAACAAAAAAAATACTACAATGCAATGAAGAAGCTAGGATCCAAGAAACCACAAAAACCTATACCTAGACCAGCGGTAAGAATGTGTGATATTCTTATGTCATCTACATTTGGGAAGAAATTGCAGCGGTACATTAACTGTGAAAAAATTTCTCCCTTACCTCTAAAATGGATTAGGCCTAATTAAAGTTAGCCCTTCATTCTGAAACATGAACTGAAACATGTACAATACTTCTGTTCTGCAGGAAAAATATCTCATATGTGTTATGCCTGAGGAAGTAGAGGTTCAAAGAATCTGAAGAAATAGAAGCCTGTTGGGTTTTGAGAGGAAAACAGAGCTGGCAAATAAAGAAGTTACTGGACAGTGCTTTTTTTTTAGATTTTTCAGCCTTTTGCTTGGTTATATATTTTGGGAGAGGAAGAAGGAAGTGGGAGGGTGGAAAAAGATGTTCATTATGTACAAGATATCACCTTTTCTTTTTTTCCCCTCAGAACAAATTGCAAGGTCTGGTGTTTGATATTGTAACAAAGCAAGCATTTGACATCGTCATTATGGTTCTCATCTGTCTGAACATGGTCACCATGATGATAGAAACAGATGACCAGAGTGAACTGATGCGAAATATTTTATACTGGATTAACTTGGTCTTTGTTGTTCTTTTCACTGGAGAATGTGTCTTCAAACTGTTCTCACTCCGTTATTATTACTTCACCATTGGTTGGAATATTTTCGATTTTGTAGTTGTTATTCTTTCAATAGTAGGTAAGAAATTCTTATATTAAAATGAAATATAGTAAGGCATGTATTAGATGCTTTATCTCTGTCAAGTTTTGCAGATTATAGGAAATACTTAATTTTGTTTTCTCCTGATTATTTAGGAAATAATAATAGAGTAGTAACTTTCTTAATAATTCTATATCAATTTTAATACTCTTTTTTTTTTTTTTTTTCCTAAG